TACCCCCCCCCCTCTCTCTCTCTCTCTCTCTCTCTCCCTCTCTCTCCCTCTCCGCGCCGCCCAAGGCAGCAGCCAGCGGCGGGTCCTCCCGGGAGCTGTGATTACTGTTCTTGCCGGCGGAAAAATGAGAAGAGAAAAAAAAGAGTAAAGAAAGACGTTGGAGGGAGGACCGGGGGGACGGCGGGTACCAGTCGGGTACCAGTCCGATACGTCCCATACCGAGCTACCGCGCACCGCGGCGCCCGCCCGGGGGATTTAAACAAACGAGTACAAAAAAGTTCTAAAATGTAGATCTGGAATCGGTGTTTCACTTTGCAGATCCTGTATCTCTGTGTGTCCCGCAGACTCAATTTTCTCTCTGGCGTCAGCCTCCCCGCTGGGGCGAGTCTCCTCGTCCCCGCCCTCCCCGACTCGCCGTCGCCATGGCCTGGGCTGGCGAAAAAGTGCAAGTCCTCGTCGTCCCTTTATCTCGTGCGGAATGTGTGGCCCGCCTGCTGATCCGCACGCACTGCACACTCACTGCCTTTGTTTACGTGAAAGTCTAATAATAGGAACAGGTTGTGGAGGGTAAATGGTTTTGGCCCGGGCCGGAGAGCACTTCCTGTGCAGAATGCACCGGGCCGGCGCACCCTCCCTGCATGAGGCGTCAGGTTGTGCTCGGCGTGTTTGTGGGTGGTTGTGCCTGGTTGTGCTGCTCGTCTGCCCGCCGCTAGCAGCAGACTGAATCATTATTGCAGACGGGTCATTATTAAAGGTAGGCAAAAGGGCGGCCGTAAAAGCGAGCGACCCGAGTGGCGAAAAAAATAAGTGTAGGTGGCGATGGGGTGCGCTGCTGCGCGGGCCGGAGGAGGGCAGGGGGCGGAGGCCGCCTCCGGGGTCCCGGTCGTCATGACGCCAAATAATTACATAATTTCGCTGCTTCCTTTCGTTTCCGTGGCGCTCCCTCCTCCTGGCCCTGCTTGGGCTCGCGTCGTTGTTGTCCTTCGTCCCGGAACCGGCATCGCGGTAGAAGGGGCTGCCAGGGTTCGAACACTACCAGGACGCTCAGAAACTAGTATAGTTTGGACACTTGTGTGTGGCGTGGTGGCCGGCCGGCTGTGGCCCGTGGAGCCTCGTGGTCGTTAGTCCGCTCGTCCGTCTGGAGGCTTCTCTGGAGGCGAGAGCCGTGCTAATCACGGACGGGGGATCGGGACTATTAAATTACACACCACCCAGGCCTGCATTTTGGGCTTCTCATTTATTTTTATTTTATTTTTTCTCTTCTCTGCGCGCAACTCGGGGAAATTTCGCTGGCATTACGGCTGTCTATATTTTTCTCCGGCTGTCACTCGGCTGACGCGGCTGATCTGCTGCCTGTTCGGAACCCCTTGTCATATCTTGATTATTTTCCCCCCTCCCCCTTCCGTTTTGTTTTATTATTTACGTATTTTATTCGCCCAGGTAGGCATGCAGCAGCCCATAGCTTGGCCATGCACGCAGGAACGCAGGCTGGCTGGCAGGGTTGGGGTGGTTGGCTGGTTTCTGCACAATTAAATACGAGGGAGTCCATTGTGAGGACCGTATAAGATGGGCACTACGCAAGCTGGGGGCGGGGGTGTTATTTTTTTCGTCCGCTTGTGTGTGTCTGTGTGTGTGTGAGCGCGAGCTTCGTCCAGGTAGATGTGGAGGGGGAGGGTAGGCGATCGTTTGGCGAAAAAGACCATCTGTTGTATAATACGGCGGTGTATCTCTTTCCTTTGTCGCTGCATTCGGCTGCGTGGCGGAGCGGGGCGGTGCATTGCGTCGTGGACTCTTTTATTGCCCGATCGCTGTGTATCGCGGTGATTTTTTTTCTCTCTTCACCCGGGCATGATCAGCGATGCTGCGTGTGTGTGCGTGTGCGCGACACCCGCGCGGCAGCAGCAGGACGCTAACGTGACTGACAAGCTCCGCGCGAGGACCATAGTTGAACCCCGGCCGGGGGCCTCCGGAGGTCGCAGCAGGGCCCCACCACCACCACCACCACAGCAGGACCTCCGCGGAGGCTCCGCGGGACGGCGGCCGGCCCGGGCTTCTCACTTTCGAATGCCATAACCTGTGTGTAGCCCCCAATGTCTTGAAATGCATCGCCATATGCGGACACTAATTCGGACCGGCCGGGCCAGTGGAACGGATGTGGACCGTAAACATACACACACATACCCTCTGTCTTTCTCTGCACCATGCAAACTTGCCCACTCTTCTCTCGTCCTCTCTCTCTCTCTGTCTCTGTCGGACGTACTCTGGACGTACTCGTCGTGAGGCGAGGATAGACCACATTACATTATTAATTCTACTCCCAGGACTGTTCTATTTCATTTGCCTCCCCGCCCCAAGTTTTCATTCCATGTCGACGGACAGTGCTAGATAGAGGTGGAAGAAAAAAGAACTCTGTATGGTGCGCGGGGGAGTGGTGGTGGTGGTGGCCGCCGCCGCAGCAGCAGAGAGCTTTGAATTCTCAGAAGAGATGATGTTGATCGTCATCCTGACGTGTCCACGCTCTGCGAATTGATTTAAAAAAAGTTTTACTCGTCGTCCTGTCGTCCCCATCGCCCGCCATATTGGTTGCTCGTCAACCCCAGCGCGCTCCACCCGCCACGTGTCCCCGCAGCCTATCACCTGGCAATTATGCGACCCTTTTATCCAGTCTTTTATCCGGCCAGCCCCCTTCGGGATAAAAAACATGGCTGTTTAGGGTTTTGTCGTCGCGTCGTCGTCGCCCGTTGCCGTTCTCGTCCACCTTCCGCCCCGCATCGCTGCGTCTTGGAGTTCGGTTATCGTTGTCCTCGAGATCCCTGCGCGTGGACGAATCCTCCTCTCTACCCTTTTCTCGTCATCGTCGTCGTCATCGTGAAGGACGCCCTCGTTAGCGGCCAGGAGGCTGCTCGGCCTCCTTGATGGTCGACGGCCGCCCCGCGGAGGTTTTCCCCCGCCGCGACGCCTGAGTGATGGCTTTTGCCGATGCGGACTTTGCGCGCGGATCAGCGGATCAGTGCTGCTTCTGCTGCCGGACATGCATGGTCGCCTCTTCCTTCCTCCCTTTAATTCTCCCCCCCTCGCCCCCCTTCCTCCTCGACGCGCGCCTGGCTCGCGCCCGGACTGGGCTGACCTGGTCCTGCTGCTCATCTCCCTCCTCCTCCTTCTCCCCTAACGGGTTCATTCACACACCACTTCCTTGTCGCGCGTCCCCCCTATGCAGCCAAGCAACCCTTCATCTCCTTGCTGTACTTGGACTGGCCGCCGTGTTGTGTTGGCACGCGCCTCGTGTCGCGTGATCAAAGCATATTGTGTCGTGTGAGGTCTTTCTCTTCCCTGATCCGGTCAGAATGAAGCTGGGCCCTCGCTGTCCTCCCTGGTGCTCGTCGTAGTGGTGGAGGTAGAGGAGGCGCTGGACGGGAAATCATCGACAAGGGTCCGCCACTTTTGGGACCAGCTATGTTTGTTGTCTTCGTCCCCTCTCAGTGCGCCCCTACAGCAGTTTTCGGCCAAAGTGAGGTTATGTAGGTGCTTCAGTAGCCGGGCCGTGCGGGCAGCAGTAGCCGGCCAGAGCCTCACGCATGCGCAGTGCGGTGCCGAGCAGACCGGCAGCAGCAGAGTACCCCTTTTTTTTTCATCCGTTGCTTGTCGTCGCCGGTCTCGCTTGGCCTCTCTTGTCTTATTTTTCGGTGAGGGAGAGAGATGTGTTTTTTTAAATGTCATTATCACTAATTATGCATTCGTTGTGTCTTGCGCCGCCACCAGGGGCCGCCTCATTCCCTGGGCCCCAAAAATGATGTGTGTTAGTGATAGAAAGCGGGGAGCCCTGGCGGTGGCGTACGGCGTGGCGCGGCGTAGCGGTTCCGTCATGGTCGTAATTTGGCATCGCATGTCATTTCATTGCGCGGGGCACACACTGCTCGGTATAAAGTGGCGTCCCTTTTTGTGCCGTAGGAAAAACAAAAACGACGTCCAGCAGCCGCCGTAGTCTTTCTCTCAACCCGGTGCTGCCCCGGAAGGTAAAGGAGAGAGGGGCGCAATAATAATTATAATATTGAAATAAAAAATTACCGTACCTTCAAGTCGACGTGTCGTTATTCGGAGGCATGCGTGTTAATTTCTGTCTGCCTCTCTGTCGTCGTACGCACGAAGTTTTCTTTCCCCGAAGGCGATTCGATCGTGAAAATGAAGTTATTGACAGGCGTGCAGCAGCATGACGCGCCGCCGCTGGGATGGCGCCCCCCCC